ATGGCAAGAAGGCATTAAGAGTTTTAAGCAAGGAAGGGATGAGATGAAATGTATGTTCCATAAAGTTTACTCAGCCTATGGAAATGGGGCTTGGGAGGTGAGAGTGACCCCGGGAGACTTGGCGTTGGAGATCACCCGGCCTTCCTACAGCAGCTCCAGCCTCGCCCTGCTTCAGCAGACAGCCTGGGTTGGCTGTACCCAAAGCAGGAGCTATGGAAATTTTCCCCATGTGTGCATGCTGAGAGCCCAGGGCTGTAATTAAACTTCCTAGCAAGAGAGAGTCTGAGGTCAAGCCTCAACTGAGTTAAAATGAAACAGATCACTTTGCAGCAGGACTTATCAGAGCCTTTGATTGGGAACTGTAGCTGGTGACCTGGAACCCTGGGAAGGGCCTAGAATGTAGTGTGTTCTGTACTTATTTTGAAACTATGTTTTCCATTGTACGTTTTGCTACCAAGCTCAGTCTGAGAAACTGCTCCAATTTCCTCTTTTGCCTCTTCTAGGGCATATATGCTACTGAGCGTGCTTCATTCTCTGTCTCACAGCCTCTGCTCAGGGAAGTGGAACACCATTCTGTTTGGTTACAGACTGGGGAAACAGATGTGTTCAGGGTCTTGTGCCTGGGACCTTGCGGGAGATTGACAGTGAGTCTTGGTCCACCAGCGAATCACAGGAGCGTCTCTGGAAGATTGTGGGCTGTCAGCCTTCTTTCCACTTCTCCTGATCCATGATCTTGTAGACAAACACTGCCCTATCCTGTCTACTTAGGACATCGCCATTAGTGTCCACCTCTCCTGTCTTCCTGATTGCTTCTTTTTCCTCATATCTCTTCTCTCTTTTTATTTGAGCTGCAGTCTCACTCTGTTGCCCAGGCTAGAGTGCAATGGTGCGATCTCAGCTCACTGCAGCCTCCCCTTCCGGTTCAAGCGATTCCCCGCCTCAGCCTCCCGAGTAGTCTGGGATTACAGGCATGCACCACCAGGCCCAGCTAATTTTTGCATTTTGAGTAGAGACAGGGGTTCACCATTGTGGTCAGGGCTGGTCTCAAACTCGTACCTGTCTGTCTCAACTCCCAAAGTGCTGGGATTACAGGTGTGAGCCACTGCCCCAGCCTGTCATGATCTCCTATCTGGTTTTGGGAAGGTAAGAAGTTGACTCCCTCAACTAAGAGCTTCAGTGCTATTTTTTCTTTTTTTTTCTCTCTTTCATTCTTTCTTATTTTTTTTGAGATGGAGATCTCTCTGTGTCGCCCAGGCTGGATACAATGGCACGATCTCAGCCTCACTGTCCATTCTATGAAAGACAATGAGCCCAAGTGTGTTGGCCCCAGGTCTTTATTATGATGCTTCCAGCACAGCCCCCTGCAGCCTCTGTCTTCCTGGCCTCTACCATGACAGTGTCCGCTGCAGGTACACCTGTGTGTGCCATCCAAATGGGATGTGGTCATTTTGGTCCTGCTCCGCGTCAAACCCAGTGATGTGAAGGAAAAAGACCAGCAAAGAGAAGCCAGCTCCACAAAACCTGTTTCAGCAAGGTTATGTTTTATTCGACATATTGGTAAGACAGGGAACAGGGCCAAGACCTCCGCACTCCCCTGGAAGGACAGTCAGGAGAAGTAGATACATCTAAAGTGGGCACAGGACGGAGGTCAGATCTTCCTGGGGAGGTGGCTGGAAAGACTTGGGCTTAAGCCACGGGAGCCAGGGCCGACCTGGTTGTTTGCCCTGTCGAAGACAGTGAAGTACCTGGCGGAGAAAGACATACACCCCCAGGATCCAAAGCGCTGCCAGATCGGTGGGGACGTCCATGCCCTGGAAGCCGCCTGGTGCAAGCTGCCTGGCCTCTGGAGAAAAGCGAGAATAGAATGGTGGAGTTGGAGACGACCGATTCACAGCGACAGGCACTGATGATAAACATCCAGGGGCGTCCCTGGTCCAGCTGAGCAAAGGCCACCGTGCAAGAGGAGCTTCCCTGGCTCAGATGTCCAGGGACTCGGGCTGTTGTTGGCTGGAGTTCGCTGTAGAAGCTGTCCACAAGCAACTATTGGTTTCTAGCATTAAAACTGGACATTAATCCGGCATGTTTCTGCAGACACAGGAACCCTGACATCAGCCATCAAGACTAAGGGGCTTGGGAGATTCAGCTGGTAGGAAGGGGTGTGAGGAAACCCTGCCCACACAACCTTTTCTCAATGATTATTGTATCCCCGACCAAGGGCAAACCGGAGGAGCGGTAGCCCATCCTTGCCTCCACTAATCACTGGTCTGTGACCTTGGTCTGCACGTCACCTGGGGAGCTTTGAACCCCGTGCAGCCCCATCCATTGCTCAGGCCCTTGCCCTCTCTTAATGTAATCAGGATCACTGGGGGAGCCCAGGCATAGTGACTTCTTGTTGAGTAACATCAGTCCACTGGCAAAATCAGTTTTCCACCTGACTGTATAAAATAGAGAGGGAGAGTTTTCCCTGTGGCTCGTTCAGCTAAAGAATTTGCTACTTGGTAGAGAATGTAGGTTATGTCCGGAAAGCTCCCAGCCGTATGGAAATGAAGATTTCCCTTTAACCCAACCTTAGGTAGCCTCTTGTTATGTGATGTCAGTCTCACTTCGGTAACCATAACCACTGCACTCTGAGGAGGGTGGGGAAAAGCTGCCAGTGCTTACAATTTTGGGATGGAAAACTGAGGCGAGATGAAGCTGTGCTTGCTGAGAAATCAATGGGCTGGTATGCAGACCCAGGACTTGGCTCCCAGGGGTCCAATACGAATTCACCTCTTTCCCCTACCATTAACCTTGCTCTCCACTGTTTTCGCCCTTAGGGGGCTGTATCCGAGTTATCTTTTCCTGCATGTTGTTTTTAATCCGTTCCTTCCTCTTCCGGAAGCCTGTCTGGGGCAGATGTGTTCGTCTGCCTCTGGCCTCTCGGCCTTTCAGCTGGTGGCAAGCGACACTTTCCCTCTGCAGAGGGGGACTCTGTGGCCACATTCTGTGTGAGCCCCTCTAGCGGAATGGTTCCAGAGCCCCCTCACCTGCATGGAATGTAGGCACTGGGTGGCAAGGATTACTGGACTCCCTTGATGGTGAAGACGATGTCGGCAGGTGCTGATGGCACTGAGCAGCTGACTCACCATCTGGAAAGAGTGAGGTTGAGACAAAGTTGCAAAAGGGTTTTGGTTCCGCTGTGCTGGCACCCCACTATTTGAGTGTAGAACAGAGCCGTAGGGCCTGGACCTCCACCTCGCCGTCACTGAGTAATCTCGCTGCGCTCGATGTCGCTCTGGAATGTGCAATGGGGTTGAGGGCCGGTCAGCAGAGAGTGCCTGGTGTTCAACAAGGCCGCAAGCCTCGCAAGGCGAGCGATGCCTCTCCCTTTCATGGTGATGCTGAAGGGCAAGAAGCAAGTGAAAAGGTCCCGACACCTACAAGGGTAAAATCTCTTCCAAAGGAGGAAACAGGAGGTGACCCACAAAATTTTTCCCCACCCATCCAATTGGCCAGTGCGTGGAATTTTCTGTTCCCTCTCATTCACACACTCATCTATCCTGCATTATTTACCCAACAAATATTTTAGCAAGTGCCCAACTGCCTTGCCAGCGCATGGGAAACGCAAGTATGGTAGTGCCTGCCTTTCAGGGGCACTGGTTGCAGTGTCTCTGATGCAGGGTAGCCCCTGCCAAGGGCCCAGGTGTTCAGAAATATTCCATGAACGAATCAAATCAAGCAATGCAATGAGATCTAAGGAACCCAATTATGGCAAGCCTGAGACAGAGCAATTAACAGGATAAGTGTTATCGAGCTGGTCTGATAGGCATTGTGGTGGCTGGTCCCCTAGCAGCTTTCGATCAAGGTCTCACCCCAGGGACACGATCTTCCAACAAAAAAGAGAACAATGTGTTTTCCACTCCCCAGTCCCAGAGCTCCGCTGTTTCTCCAAAGATGCAAGCAGGTTTTTAAAGTTAAATTTATGATAACATTTTTGGCTCAACTATAGAAGTAATACATGATCATTGTAGATTATTCATAGGTAAATAAAAATTGTGA